ACATATATTTGATCTACATAGTACATTGGATACCCCAACGTGAAGTTACACGAAACCGATGTACACAAATCATTTCCATAACATTTTGTTTGAAAAAATAGTTTTTTTTCTTTTGACACTCGAGAGAAATGATTTATGCAAATTTTTCGTTTTTTTAACCCTATAAAAATATGTTTAGAATTATATTCAGACTTTACTCAAATTATTTTTTTAAGAGATGAGTATTTTTCGTAACAAAAATCTATACAAAACTTTCAAATTTTCCGAATTTTCTGAATATTTTCAAAACTCTGTTAATTTCCTGATCATAATTTTTTGCTTGATAAAAATTATCAAAAATATTCAAGAAAATTGAAAATATTCAGAAAATTTTAAGGGTTTTTGTATGGATTTTTATTACGGAAAATACTCATCTCTTAAAAAAATAACCCGAGCAAATTCTGTAAATTTTCTTTATAAGGTAGTATGTAACATTTGAGTTCTAAAAAAGTACTCTAAAGCATATAAATAAGTTACTTAAACATCAAACAATTGATCTACACCCAATCAAACTAATTTCGTCCTATAATTCTAACCCTAACGCTAAACTTCATCTTCTGGTTTGTGTAAATAAGTGAACTGATCTACGTGTAACACTAACGCTATGAAAATTACTAATAATAGAAATGTTATGTTACAATTGTCTTAAGACACTTTAATTCGGCATATTGTAGCCGCGCATTATAAGTATAGGAAGGTTTCTTCATAGACAACATCTACTCATGGCACCATATAATCATCCATCTCGCAAGAGCCGCCAAAATAATGTTACCGCAAATATGAACCGAACAAATCGTAAAATGATTAATGATCTTAAAAAAAAGGCATTTTCTCTTGAACAGGAATATCTTTTTCTATCCTTAGAAATAGATTCTCTTAAAAGAGAGAATTCTATACTTCGGTCTCTTCAGCAAGCTCTATCTTCTCCAACTGGTACTTCTTCAGTTCTGGATTAAGCTTCTTCATCCTCATCTTGAAGATTTTTTCATTTATCTGTTTTTAATATACCAATAGCAAGCACTATGCGGAAGTCTATTGTTTTATTTGTAACTTTTTGAATCCATAGTTTAGCATTAGTAATTTTTTATTTTTTTATCCTGTAATTATATATTTTATTAGTTTATATGTATAGGTCGTTATTTTCTTCACAATTAAGGATGTTTTGGTTGGGAAAATAACATTCTTTGCTGGTAAAATGCTGGTAACTGTTGGGGTCTTACTGAAGATAGAGACGGTCTAAATTTTCATTTTTTGCTTGTAAAATGTTACATTTTTAAAAGACTCTAAACTGTATAAATACAATTGTAAGTGCTTGACAACAAAGAAGAAAGTTATTCTGTAGCTATTCAACTGATCTTTCACTCTAAAATGCCCGAGAATTTTAACAACGGCTCGACTCGGCTCAAAAGCTGTGATAAGCTGGCTCTTGTTATAAGATAAAATCAAACTATCACCTTTATAAAATGTGACAGTTCGACTTTATCACATAAATACGCACTGGTTGTTTTGGAAAAAAAAAAAAAAAAGGAAGAAATAATTCCTGTTGTGTAACGTACGTACGTACAGTACGTGTACGCACAATAAAAGCATGACACCAAACAGTAAAAGTCCGAGCATAACCACTAATCGAGGGCGCAGACTGTTACGAAAACAAGCGTGTTGTCACGATATCATATAAGTTTTACTTTATTTAGACATTACGTACGTACGACATTTTTTTTTTTTTTTTACCTTTTATGCAAATAGTCATAGCTAGAGATGGGCACTATGCAGCATGACTTAATCGTCACATATAATAATTTATGTAAAAAATTAACATCCGATGTGATTTTCATAATTTTAATCATGTAACAATTAAGCACCATGCTGCATAGTGTCCATCTCTAGTCATAGCTTAATAATTGCATTAAAAAATGTCGTACGAACGTATAAAGTGCGCCACCGGCGCCCTAGGCTACACTAGGTTAAAATCTCTTGGTTTTTAGTTAATTTGAGTCTAATAGAAGGAATATAAATAGGATTTTTCTTTGTAAATAGGGGGAGGTTCTTCTTTTGCTCAATTGGAATAGAGTAATAGTAATTTGTGTTTTAGAGAATTCTTTATGTACCGGGTACACTTTTGGGAAGATACTTGCTTGTACCGATTACATTTTTAGTACATTTTATTGTCTTGTGCATACGTAGTAATAAATCATTGGTTTCCTATTTTTAATGCTTACGACCAGAGTTAAATTGGCAGCGCAACAGTAAAGTCTCTCCCTTGTCGTAACACAAACACATGATCTTCCGACATAATCAGCCCGAAAATTCTACGGACAGAGCTTAGGGACAGAGCAGTATCATGTGATTAGTTAATTAGCGGTTAGGGACAGAGCAGGGACAGAGCAGTATCATGTGATTAGTTAATTAGCGGTTAGGGACAGAGCAGGGACAGAGCAGGTTTTATAGTATCACGTGATTCTGCTCTGTCCCTAAGCTCTGTCCGTAGAATTTCCGTAATCAGCCAATAATAAATCACGATTTTGTGTATCGTAACACGATCAGAAAAATTCAAAAAATCACTTGTTTCTCGAAAACTCACTTATGAAATCACTTTGATGTTCTAACAAAAAAAAATTCCTTGCTAATTTTTCATATACCTAATATCTTGCTAAAACTCTAAGCTTTGCCCTAACCTAAAATAAACGAACTTTTTTCCGATTATTTCATGTCTGCGCCCTCGATAAGTGGTTATGCTAGGATTTTCCTTTCACCAAAAGTATAATATCAATGGCAAAATTATTATTAAATTACTGTAATGAAATTTTGCATTTATAATTCTAGATTTAATTACGATGTATTGCAATTTATTGTAATTACTAAGCAATAATATTTTTGTAAAGTAAATTATTTTAGCGTTAAATTTAATTAAGTTTGCAATGCTAGCATAACCGTTTGATTGATTTTTATTTCTTAATTATCTCGTAAGATTTTTTCAAACCACTTATAATAGAAATAATTCGTTGAAAAAGGGCCCCTAAAATCAAATCGATCAATATACATCTATGAATATATTTCCATTTTTCTGTGGCGTGAGTTGGGATAAGCAGCAAGTAAGTAGTTTTATTAAATTTTCCTTACATATGTAGGGTTCCGCAATTTTCGTATTTTGTGTAATTTTGCGTAAGCTTTCGTTAACATCGATTTACTTTATGCAGAATCTACTGTAGTACAATAATGCTGGTTGAGTTTTTCATAGTGCTGCCACTATATATCACGTGTGAAATTTACATGAAATCCATGTTACTGAAACATTACATGTAATGTAAGTTTGTAAAATGTAATTTTCAACCCTACAAATCGGGTATCTGATAATTTATTTATTTATTTTTATTTATTATAATTAGTTATTTAGCGTTAGCACTAAGAAATAATCGATTGCATTTGGTACTACGCTAACAGAATTTTGGTTGCTCTTCACGTAATAAGTCTTACAGTTTAGCCTTTATTAGAAATTTGATGTTTCGCAAATTTAAAACGATTGCAGAAAAAGTACTTAGTAGTACATACGTATGTATGTACTTACTGTAGTACATACGTGCGTGTACGTATTCGTATGATAACTTTAAATTTTTCATTTGCGTGTTAATAGCGCAGAAATGATTCTAAAAATCGTGTAACATTAAAAACGAAACAATAAGCAGCCGAATTTACCAATTTTATTATCGGGTACCTTATAACCTATGGGAACTGCAGAAAATGCCTTGCACAACAAATTCTTGATGCTATTGGTTGATTAGAAAAATGATTATTAGAATGCTTTTGTACGTACGTACAGTTGCCTCACAAAGTTTAACACGGTTACACAAAAACATAATAAAAAAACATACCAAAAATTTATGCAAATCAACAATGTTAATATACGTACGTACGTATGCTTTTTTGCATAAATTTTTTTTATTATGCTTTTTGTGTAACCGTATTAAATTTTTGAGGCAACTGTACGCCCTTGAATATTCTTTGAACAATGTTTATATGATTCGTGAGACTTATGTTTTTACGATAATGCGATACAGGTTTATCATATTACTTATTTGGCATATCGCAGATTTAACGATATTTTTTATTTGATTAGTATTTTATATATTCGTTTTATTGATTTGTATCATTATTGTGCATAAGATCGTCAAAGAAATATCTAGAAAAGGGGGATCGCATTTCGATATAATCACGGTTATATACCCTTATATTATATTTTATATAATAATCACGTTTAGAGTAACTATAAAAATCACATTTAGTGTAACTATAATAATCACATTTAGTGTAATATATATGTTACGGGTCAAATTAGGTTTTTAGGTCAAGTTAATCTTGACTGGGTCAAATTGATCCCTAGCAGAATTTTAGGATTAAGGTGTCCGGAATTATATTGATGCCGGCTGGGTTTTTTTAATGATCAATTTGACCCGAGCCAGTTTAACTTGACCTAAAAACCAATTTGACCCGTAACATATATATTACACTAATGTGATTATTATAGTTACACTAAATGCGATTATTATCAGGGATGGCACGTCACAATGTCCAATTGGTTT